TCCAAACATTAGTAGCAATATTTTTTTTCACATTTCTGTAGAGCCTATCTCCCTCAAATATAACATAACTTGTTCAATGGGGTAAAGCTTTGGTGAATTTCAAGATAAGACTAAAGAAGAATGCCTAATATCTCAGTATGTGAGTAAATAAATAAATTCTCTCATAGGCCAAATTACCGTACATTATTTGGCTATTTGGATTAAGATAGGAAGTGAAGGCATCTTGTAGATAGTTTGATAGTGTATTTATCCCAACATTTGCCTCACTTTGACAAGTATTTTCCTGTATATTTGGAAAAATAAATACTTTTATAGTAACTTTTTTATGAAGGAAATTACTACTGAAAGTGAGTATGCAAAGGTTGGACAAAATGTTTGAAAAAAGATATTTTCCAGTTTGCTTTAATATAAGCGAACTACCTCTTTTCGGATCATTAAAATAGCCTTATCCTTTGTAAGGCTCATGCAGCTGCTTCAGTTTATTTATTTTATTTATTTATTTTTAAGACTTATATGCCGCCCTTCTCCCCACGGGACTCAGGGCGGCTCACAGCATATTAAAACAACATAGTACATTTCCCCAATAAAAGCCAATTAAAAACCAAATATTTGTAGCTGTGTCTCTTATTAAAATCATTAAAAATTATCCCTATTTAAAATTCACCCTAGGTCAGTCCTAGGTTGGGTATACTTGTGCAATACAGCCACTTTGTTTCATTTCTGTTGTTGGTTCAGCCACATGCAGATATAGGTAGTTTGAAACAGCTTTCAGAGAGATCTTGCAAGTTAGCAAAGATGCAACTGCTTTTATATTATGGGAAGAGGAGCTTTGTTTGCATCTTTTCCAGATGCTTTGCACAGCCTCATGCAGGTATCAGCAGAATTGTCAAGAAAGAAGCTGCAGATGAAATTGTTCCTATGCCGTTGTTGTATTTTTTATTTTTTTATTTTTTGGGGGGGGGGGAACATAAAATGTAAGACATTGAAATACAGAATTGCAGCATAGACCCATATATTCATAATTAATTTCATTCCATTTCTTTTCTAAAGAAATGTTATTGGTAACAGGCTCAAAACGAGCATACAAATGTTGATATAATTTGGTTTATGCTATAATAAATGATTGGCCTATTTACCATTATTTGCTGCATTGATACAGGCATGACAAATCTGTCAACAACTATATGAATTGGTTCATACAATTCATTTAAAATGTTCACTTAAAGAATTAGTGTGTCCTATTTGCTCAATAAGTGGAGTTTGATTAATTTTGTTTGCAAAGTATCTTGTGTGAACTAACCTATTTCTATAATTGAAAGTTTGAATATGTTGCATATGTATACATTTGTTCATCTGTGAATAATCAAGGCTATCCATTTTTGATAAGTGGTCTATAATTAGCATGTAAGTTTTGTTTTTGAATAACTTTAGAATGCTCAGAGATACCCCTAATAAACTCTAGGTAGGCTGTTGTTTTCCAGTTTTGTGCCTCTTGCACTGATAAAGCATAATTCAAAGCTTTTCTTAAATTTTCTTGCAGTGTTTTTATCATCCACCAGATGTGCGCAGTTGAGTAACTTTGGCTCAGTTTCAGGGTGGTGATGTCAGAGCTACTGGATTGGAAGATGAGATCTCCTGACATTGTGTCATCAGGGTGGTGGCCATTTCCTCCCCTCCCTCCTCCCCCTTCTGCCCCCTCCCTTTCTGCTGGCCTCATTTCTCAGGAACAAAGAAAACAAACTGTGTGTGTGTGTGTTCCTTTTCCTCAGATAAAAGATTTTGCTTGGCTGCCAGAGCATCTTGTTTTTTTCCATCTGTTTCTTTCTTTTTATAGTATATCTCCCATACTAGGAAGATTTAACAGCATCCAGACTGTATTTTAGAGAATTAAGTGTAATCAAAGGGATTTATCAGCTTTATCTATGGTGTGGTGGTGGTGGTGGTGGAGAGAAGGGAGGGAGATCTAGTCAGAACTTAACATTCTAATGCAACTCCTCCATCTGGTACCTTAACAGTTGTAAATTGTTTAACTCTTCTGTATTCCATTATGGAAAATCTTGGGGATGATTAATTACAACACGTGCTAGGCTTTTTATTCTGATACAGTAATACTTCACTTTAAATATTCTTATCAAAGAGAAGTTTGCTTTTTAGCCTTCCATATAGTTGTATTTTACTTAATACCCATATGTCTGTATAATGATTTAGGACAGGTTTAGGACATTCTCAAGCTCACACTGCAAAATAAAATATGTAATTTTGCAGTTTTCCTGGGCTAATTCATGCAGGCTAAGTTGGGAAAATAAATTTATTTCTGCAAATCCTAAGTCTTCAATAGAGCCATTTAATGCTGTTATGTTGCTCTTAAAGTCTCTGTAAGTGCTTTCAGCTTGACCTACAGTGCTTACCAAGACTGCTCTTGAAATATGACAATATCAGAAAGCCAAAATTTGGAAGTTGAAATAATTATTTTCCTTTTCAATTTCAAATTCATGATATATAAATACTGCATTTGTGTAGCATATAATAATAGGTCTCTGCAATATTATTGTGTAAGATTTAATCTGGCAGAATATTGTCCAAATATAGACCTTTGTGGATTATAATTACAAAAGAATTTGTTGCTCAAAAATAGAATATATATAAATCTGAGAGAGATAGTGATTCTACAGATTTCTCATTTGCTAGCAGGCTGTCTTGTTTCCATTGCAACACATGCTTCTCAATCCTAAAGTATCTTAATGCCAAACCAGGTTTGTGTAAGCACCAGATGGTGCTGTTGCCTTATTTTACTATTCTCTAACTTCCTTTGCCGCATTCAGCCATTTTAGGCAGGATGTTTGCCTTCCCTTTAGACTCCATTTTGTATTGATGGCGCAGAAAAAAATTGAACAAGGGAGGAGTTTGCAGGAAGAATGAACCATGCTGAGTCAAAGGCTGCTATTATTTGATGGCTCTGCTTCCTGCTTTTTTTCATGTTCACTCAGCAGATATAGGCCAGGAAGCAAGCTTTATTTCATGAAAAGTAATATGTTTGTGATCAATAGCAGTTAAAAATGACCTTTAGGCACACTGAACCACCTTTTCTGTCTATTCAAATCAATGCTGACAAACCATGTTAATGGTTGGTTTTATTTTCATTCATATCTTTTAGTTATTTTTCAGGAAAATGATTATACGTCAGACTAAATCTTTTGCTATATATAGCTAATCAGGAAAGGTATGAATCATAGTGGGGGTTAATATAAGGAAGCAACAAATAGAAAGCAGTAATTATCAGAAAGATTATTTATAAATTTTTGAAAGTAAAATATGCTTTCCCATAGATAAGATGAATATTAATACATTGTTTTATTCAGTTGTAGTATGCAGTATGTGAGCTCCTCTCTTCATATTTCAGGTTTCAATACTGAGTCAAAATTGACTACTGCAATATTTGAGAGTGATCAGCTAATAGCAGGGGTCTTCAATCTTGGCCCTTTTATGACTTGTGGACTTCAACTCCCAGATTTCATCAGCCAGCGTGCCTGGTTGAGGATTTCTGGGAGTTAAAGTCCACAAGTAATAAAAGGGCCAAGTCTGAAGACCCCTGGCTTATAGTAAGAACAAAAACCCAGAGCATTCTCAAACTATTGTTTCTTCATTAGTGAGTTTAATTTCAGGAAGTTACTGTGACATGGACCTGAAACATTATTTTCAGAAGAGCTATATGTGCTACCTCAGGTCTATTTCAGTCTCTCTCTAAATTCAGGGGTTTTTTTTTAATCTGTTAGTGAATCAAGTTGTTTTCCTCTTGCCTTCATTAACTGATTTCAAAGGAGTGACCCTATCTTTTGGAGAGGGGAAAAAAAGAAGGCAGAACGTAATTGCTTCTTTAGAAATGACTGAACATAAAGCATCAAGTTAGGTGTGACATAGCCATTATTACATTAAGTAGTTGGTTAACATAGGTAATATGATAAGAAAAATAATCCTTATTTAATCCATGAGAAATTGTGTTAAATCTAATGAATACATGAATTCCTATTTACAGAAATCAGTCTTAATTCCTTTTCTTGTCAATATAATAAAGACTACGTACTCAGATCTAATTCTAATATAGGATTTGTCACTGCCAAAGCAATTCTTTTTCTTTCTTCTTTTTCCGTCCTTTCCCCAACAAACAGCTGTGATAATATATCTAATAGGATTATATTCCATGCACTTCATGTGGTAGATTGTGATCCATAAAAGTTTATGTGATAATGTATTTATTGTTCTTCAGAGTGTGACAAGTTAATTTCTAATAACTGGTCACCACTATGTCATTCTTAATGAGCTGATGAATCTGTGCTCTATCTCTACCATTTTTCAGGGCAAGTCCAAACTCAGATAATCAGATATCAATATGTTTTATCATATATTTCCTGTACATACAAAATTATACTATTCACAAGGGAATGGTTTCCCCAGTGTAGTTTTCTCTATGAACGGAATAGTTTCATCCATAGGGGCATTTCACTTTGTATATTCCTGGCTTCGTATCACTATTGCAGGTCATCTTGGTAATCATTTGTGATTCTAATGCCCCAAGTTGATGTATCTTCCATTTTGTTCCTTAGGGCAAGATTCTATTTTCTAATTATGCTGTGCCACTTTTTTCTATAAGGCTTATCTAAATCTCTTATCTAAATCTTATCCAAATCTCTTATCTAAAAATTGTGTACCTCTTTGTCACAGGATTGTGGAATAGTCCTTTATGTATGGGCACATAAATAGATCAGTTACTGCTTTGAAATAATAAATGGGGGAATGACTGTAGTTTTTTTTCGTATGGGGAAATTTGAAAGATACCTCCTGATATTGGATGCATCTATTATAGCAGGCATACCTCATCTTTTTATCCCTCTTAATAATCTTTTCAGTGGTTAAGGGATGTCCTGAATTTCTTTGAGAGATTGGTAGTTATGGACAGTTCTGTTGAAGTTATCTGGGTCACTAAGATCTTTAATTCTTTACAGCAAAAAAGCAACCTGAGGGTGGAGAAGAAAAGAACCAAGCTAAGAAGAAAGTCAAGGAGCTGAGAGTGCTAGATTCAAAAAATGCTCAGAACCTTTGTGAGTATGATTTGATATGATTAAGGAGAAATTCCTATCAGTGAGAACCAGTGGAACAGCCTGCCTCCAGAAGTGGTGAACACTGGAAGTTTTTAAGAAGAGACTGGACAGCCATTTGTCTGAAATGGTATAGGGTTTCCTGCCTGAGCAGGGGGTTGGACTAGATGACCTCCAAGGTCCCTTCCAACTTTATTTTTATTTTTATTATTATTATTATTATTATTATTATTATTATTATTATTATTATTATTATTATTATTATTATTATATTACTGGAGGTTTCTAAGAAGAGACTGGATAGCCGTTTGTCTGGAATGGTATAGGTTCTCCTGCTCAAATGGGTTGGATTAGAAGACCTCCACTGTCCTTTCCAACTGTTGTTCTGTAATTCTGGTAGAAAAGTTTGCCTATGTTTACTGTGACAACTTTCAGAAATTATTTAAATGTTTATTTAAATGAAGGAAAAGTCAGGAAAGGTAATTTCTCTTATTTGAATATTTGGATAGGCCAATAATTTGGTTAATTGTGCTTCTCTTTAAATGTGGCAGCAATTTTTTTGGGCTCCTTTCGCTTGCCTTATGAGGAAATCAAGAACGCCATCTTGGAGGTGAATGAAGCTGTGTTGACTGAATCCATGGTGCAGGTGAGAACGACTAGAATGTGTGATCATATTTTCTCTCTAGAGTGTAAGTCTGCACAGCCAGTGTCCATTAAGTTGAACTCAATCTCCAGTAGTTCTGGCAACTAAAAAGCATTTATTTTGCTATCCAGGATTGTAAGAACAGAGAGAGATTGTCAAGAACTGGCAGCCCCAAGGTTTCTGTTCGATAGCTCATAAATTATTCAGGTTTGAGTATATAATAATAAGGAGATTATGCTGTCATTGGATCCTTTGTATTTGAATATTTGCATATCAAATTATGTTAAAAGGGTTCCATAGTTTGAAAGACCCATCCTTAGATTAGTTTTTTCTAGGTTAATATTATCATATTTATCAGAAGCTATTCCAAGCAACTGTATCCTTTTAACTTCTTTCTCAGAATCTGATTAAGTTAATGCCTGAACCAGACAAATTGAAGATGATAGCAGGACTGAAAGAAGAATATAATGAACTAGCTGAGTCTGAGCAGTTTGGAATTGTGGTAAGTGATTATTGCAGAAGAGGAATCATATCTCTTTCTGAAAAGAAATAAATAACAAACACACAATAATACAGTGTAAGTTTGTCCCTCTTATTTTTCAGACAGTCTGTCACATCATTTTCTAGGACGTCCCAGTGTTATGTCTACCATGTTATACTAAGTGCTTCATTTTTTTTCTTAGCTTTGAGTTATATCCTTATATTCTAGCCTACATGTCTCCTGAGCTATTTGTGCTTGAGACAGAAAAAAATGGAAATTCTGATTTTGGGATTTGCTGGTTTACTTGTTGCTATTAAAATTGCTAGTATATACTAAGTATGTAAAACCAAAAAGTTGATGTTGTAATTTTATTGCCTTTATTCTACTGCGCTGAAGAGTTGGGAGTTAATGCTTTTTTCTTCTTTTTTCCCCTTTATCCCACACTTTTCCCTTCCCCTTTTTTCCTTCTCCCGCTTTATTTTTCTTTATTTTCACTTGTATTTTATAGAAATATAAATTTTGTCCTTCACACTGAAGCCTTAAACAATGAGGGGAGGTGTATGCTACTATTCAAGGGGAAACTTTAACAGAGTTGGAAGGGTCCAACTCCCTGCTCCAGAGGAGACCCTATACCATTCCGAACAAAAAAAGGTTAAAAACCTTCAATAAAGGAGTACCCACAACTTCTGGAGGCAAACTGTTCCATTGATTAATTGTTCTCACTGTCAGGAAATTTCTCCTTAGTTTAGGTTGCAGCTTTCTTTAATAATCTTCCACCTGTTACTTCTAGTACTGACCTCAAATGCTTTGGAGAATAGATTGACCGCCTCCTCTCTTGGCAGCTCTTCAAATATTGGAAAACTGCTATCAAGTCACCCCTAGATATACCCAGTTCCTTCAACCATTCATTGTATATTTATCTTCCAGGCTCCTAATTGTCTTTGTTGTTATTCTCTATAGTCTTTCAAGTATCTCAACATCTGTTTTGTATGCAACATTCCAAGTGTGGTCTTACCAGTGCAGTACAAAGCAATACTAACAATTTACATGATCTTTATAACTTGATCCATCTATTGAGGCAGCCTAGGATTGTCTTGACTTTTTTTGGCAACTATAGCACAGTGCTGGCTCATACTTACAGTAGTGGCCAAAATTGTGGAAACCTTTTGGGAAAAGTGTACAGTAGAAATGCCACCTTTGGTTAAGTTTCCACCAATTTTTCTTCTAATTTCTTTATAACTGTAGCCTTGTTTATTTAATAATATTATTTTATATTGCTCTCTGGGCAACCAGTCAACTCTTTGCACCATTACTTTAATTTTATTATGTTTTACAAGCTCACTAAATGAAAGAACACAAAAAAACCCAACCAACTTGATAGCGATCACATAACACACTGACAAATGTCCTCCTCTCAGCTTCAATACATGACATCAATAACTGAATCCTACTGTGATCTGATTGGCTCATTGCCAAAATAAGATGACACCTGATTGGTTCTCTAAACACTCATGCTCATTAGCTACAATCAGATGAAGGAAAGCTACCTGATATCAACCTAAGCAAGTTGTGCTTTCTTTTTCTGGTTATTTGGCTATAACTTTTCATAGAATACAGTACAGGTAATTGAACAAACTTTGTTGCATTACATTCTTGATTAAATTATATATCCATTAAATTATATATCCATTGATATATAATTTTTATGGTACTACTCCAAAAAAAAGTGGTGATATTAGCCATCAAACCTCAAAAATACACTTTTCCCAAAAGGTTTCCACAATTTTGGCCACTATTTGTGGTATTTGTCCACTAGGTCACTTAGATCACTCTCACAGTTACAGTTGTTGAACCAAGTACCACCTATTCTATACCTGTGCATTTGAGTCTTCTTGCCTAAGGATAAAACCTTACTTTTCCAGCCGCTGAATTGCATTTTGTTAGATAGGGCTCAGTGTTCAATCTGTGGATATCCTTCTAGATCTTGAGTCTATCTTCTAAAGCAGGGCTTTTCAGCCGGTGGTACGTGTACCACTGGTGGTACACCAGCACCTGGCAGGTGGTACGCTTATGATGGGTTGAAAAGTACTGTAAAAAAACTTTTAAAAAGTGTAAAAGTATAGCATGGGGATGAACTGAAGCGGCTCCCCCCCCCCCCGCAGTTACCTCCTCCTTCAGAGCCTTCCTGATGCCTATGCGTGAAAGCACCAGGTGAGCTGTGCTTTGCAGGATGAAGCCAGCAGACCCGTCAGCATCAGGAAGGCTCTGAAGGAGGTAGCTGTGGGTGGGGGGAGCAGGAGGCTTTCCAGCAGGTGCCACCAGGCCTACAAATGCGACGCTGCCCCTCTGATTTCCAACCCCCAAATTCCAGAGTGAAGTTGGACAGTCTCTGAGCGCCCCTGACAAGCTGCAAATCTGCTGTAGTCTCGGCTGCTGCCCCCTTCCTTGGCTGGGCAAGGCTGGAGCATGTGGCCTTAGTCGGTGCTGCCGGCATGGCAGCAGGTGGGAGCGCCGGATGAGCGCCGCTTTGCAGGACGAAGCGGACGGAGGTACTTGCAAGTCCCACCCCAGCTATGGTGAGGAGCTGCAACTGAGTCTGTGTCCTGGGGCCGAGGAGAAGGAACCGGAGGGGTGCGGTGACTGGGCTGCCTTCTGGCCCTCTGGATTCAGGTTTTTCCTTTGATTGGGGGGGGGGGGGCGTATGGCCTGACTCATGCCGAAATGCAAATCCCTTTCTAAGCAGGGATTGGGAGGCTGAAGGCCTCTATCTTAGTGGCCATGAGTTCTAAAATCAATGGGCTGCTGCTGGGGAGGAGAATCAAAATAGGACAAATCAAGCATAGTCCACCATGGTTTACTGATTGCAAAGTTTTCCTCGGGTTTTCCTATCCCTTCCTGGGCTATTAAAATCACATTGGCAAGGTCTGTACTGAACTCCTAGCTGCAAACTACTCAACCGGATTTTAGCCTAGCCCCTTGTGCAATCCCAGGCCACATTCTGGAGGTAAGAGGATGTAGTAACAGGAGAGCGCTGCAAAATTGATTCATTATTTATTCTTGTCTTTAGCAGCAATAACTACATTCTTTGCTAGCAACCTGCAGGCTCTGAACTTTCCTTTCCCCTTGGGGAAAGAATTCAGAAGTGCTAAATTTATTTTTCCTGCTAATTACAGTATACCTTGTTGGTTTTTTAAGGAGTTTATGAGAAAAAGATGTATCTGAAAACTAAAGGATGTATCAATTGAGTTGTGAGACAGGAAAGGGAAGTACATGGACTTATATACTTCCAGTTGCTGACAGGTGTGCTGCTAATATTCTGACTTGACACCTGCATGCTCTCAGGGCCCAAAGATTATCTTCATTCTTCATAGGGCGGTATTGTGGATTAACTAAATTTTTCTGGGTTCTGATTTTAAGGTGAGTATCCTGAGCTATGGAGGCCTTTAATCTTCTTAAATACATAATAATAAAATAATGAGAACTAAAGGCTCAAAGGGAAGGCAGATTAGAAAAAACTAGACCTTTTGGGGTCTTCAATTCCCTTCCTGTTTGCTCTTCTTAACATCAATAAAGGTGGTTTTTCTAGAAAATATTTGAAAAGCTGTAATTAGTGATTTAACTATGTTTTCTTTTTGGCTGTGTTTTAATTTATATATAATGTATGTTTAATCGAGACGGTTGGAGAGGTAGAAGTGGCCAATATGGAGGCTGCACCTTGCCCTCCAGATCTCTGTCTCCCCTGCAGATCTCTGGAGAGGAGGAGGGGGTGGCAGGGGAGCTGTGTGAGGGAAGGCTGCCCCAGCAAGCCAGCATCCTTACTATGCACGATTGGAAATGGGAATTCCCTTTCAAGAAGAGCCCGCCTCCTTTGTGCAGGACCCAGGAGCGCTGCTCCCCTGCCTCACACACACACACAGACACAAACATTCCAAGCTTGGACACTGGTATCCACATCTCAGCTAGCAAATTGCCAATTATGCCTGGGCTTGGGGAGAAGGCCCTCTCCTTCCTCTGTGGATAAAAGTCCCCAAACCTGGAATGTGGTGTGCGTGTGTGTGTGTGCGCACATGTGCTTGGCTGCTAACAGTTTGGGGAGGCGAGTTTGTGGGACACCGAGTTGTCTCCACATCGAGTTAGCCGGTGCGACTTGTTCCGTTCTGACCCAGCTGTCTTGAGTCAGCTGTGTCCAGTGAGTGGCGTCGAGGAAGCCAAGCCCACATGCTAGGCAACTAGCTTAATTAGTTTCTAGGTGTTTGCTGATCTGTTGCTTGATTATCTTTTCAGGATTTCCCAAGATAATTGATGTGAGATTGATTGGTCTGTACTTTCCTGGATCATTCCCCTCCCCCCCCCCCAATTTTTTTTTGGGGGGGGAGATGGGAATGATCCAGGAAAGTACAGACCAATCTTCAAAAACTTTGATCTTCAAGAACTTTGCCAGGAAACAACTCTTGGTTTGAAATGGAGTTAGACTTTATTGGAATTGGTTAATTGTAAATACTAGGAAAAATATAGGCAGTTCTGTAATGTAGGATTTTCTTAAAAAAAACAAAACTAAACTAAAAAAACTAAAAGTTAGTTTAGTTTCATCTCCAATATGAAGATGAAGAAATATAAGCAGTTGCTGAACTGTGTTTTAACAGAAAACAGAATCAGGTTCAGTTTAGTTAATGTAACATATTTTAATAAAATATTTCCTTCTATAATTCAATGTCTTAGGCTAAATACCATAAAAATTGAAATAGAATCATATTGATTTGGACCATTTAGGTCCAAATGATGTTGCTTTTAGTACATCAGACAAAGATAATATCTGTTGTTTAAAAATAGAAATTATTGCAGCCTTTTTTCTTTTTCTTCTTGTGACAACACAGGATCACAAACATCTGACAGTGGTTTATCAAAAGAATTGTGGTTTAATATACAACATGAAACAAAAACATTCAGGGAATATACAGAATACAAGGCAGTCAGTTATATACAAACGGTTCAAGAGAGCTAAAGATTCCAATTGTCATTCC